TGCCTCAGCCACCTGAGAACTGGAAAAACAGGCAAGTGCCTGACACTGCACATTGCTGTTTTATCCTCATTTCACAGATGAAAAATAAGGCTCAGAGGGTGGTCAAAATATTCCACTTAGCAAGTGGTTGAACTGCAACTAAAAACCAGATTTTATGAAAGCAAATGCCCTCTTAATACAGCCCTGGGTATGTTTTAAGATTTCAGCAAAATTACCAAGTGTTTGTGGAGAGAACCACAATAGCCTTTGATATAGATTTAGTCGTTTGATCAGGTTTTTAGGAGAAAAAAGGAAATTTTTTTTGAGACAAGGTCTCACTATGTAGCACAGGCGGGCCTCAAACTCGCTGCAATCCTTCTGTCTTAGCTTCCTAAATGCTAGGATTACAGGGATATGCCACGAAACGCCACCAAACTCTGATGCTAGATTTTTCCAAATTTAAGATTTCAAATCAGTCAGATCTGTGCCTTTAACGGATTTGTAAAAGACTACAATTCCCAGCATGCCTCGAGACACCACCGCGATGACTTCGACTCCCAGCATGCCCTTGCTCAACGCTTTTCCTTGGTGGGGGAGGGGGTGTTCCCCCTGAAACTACAGTTCCCAGCATGCAGCGGCCTCGCCCCTTGCTGCTGGCGCCCCGCAGGACCCTGCTTCGGAGGGATCTTTTAAATAGGAGAGAATGGCTTCTGGAGTCACAGCCACCTTCGTGGGGCATGAATATGAGACAGTTCCGGCTGGTTGACCCTGTCCAGATAAACCATGGAAGAGATGGGCTGTGGCCTGCCGCGCGCTGTGCTCAGGCAGCGTTTCAGGCAGCCCCGACAGGGTCCTCTTGGGGCTTTCCTTCCTTTGAACCACAGTGGCGGGCGGGCACACCGCCTCCGGCTCCTTTGAGAGCAGGGGCCGCCATCTCCATGGCCACCGCAGTTAGTGGCCCCGGTGCGGGGTCGCGGGACATCCTGTGGCGCGTGAGTGAAGCGCACTGTGGCTCTTGCTCCTCGACTCGGGCAGGGCAGAGGGACTTTGGGCACGCCTGCGCGCTGGACTGGAAAGGGGATTTGTCCTGAGGGTAGCGTGAGGAGATCGCGTGGGGAAGGGCCCGCCGGGCAGACTCATTTCAAGCCCGTGGCGGGGTCCTCAGTGGGCCCTGGGTGGGGGGTGGGAGAGGAGTCCGAAGTGTAATCTGGCCAGCGTGGAAGGGATGACCAGAGTGGACACTAGCACAGAGGTTGGGGAGGGGTTTAAGTAAGGATAGTCTGTCCAGTAGATGCAAGAGTAGTTGCTTCCTTGGGATAGGCTGTTAGGAGGAATATCCAGAATTGGGAATGTTATGGTGTGCCCTTCGAAGAGGTTGGGGTGAGGAACCAGGCGCCCACGGCAGAGAGTCTTGTCAAGTTCTGTGGTGGGTGCAAAGAAATAGGTGAAAGATCCTTTTTAGAAGGAATAGTGCTTCTGTCGGGGTGTACTGACATCCTCGTTCTAAACTAAAAAAACTTTTGGGTCGTATCTGTCTTTAACCCTACATTGTCAATCACGAAGCCCTGTCGATTCTACCTCAGAAATGAGACTGAATTTTTTTTTTTTTTTTTTTTTACGTCTTTCCTGTTGCTGCTGCCTTTATTTCGACATTAATTGTAATCTTGTGAGCTGTTGTAGGGGACTGCCCAAACTGCTGTGACCCCTATCTGGATCTGGTTCCCTC